AACTACAAAATCTGTATTTCTAACAGGTTCCCAGGTAATGCTACTTCTACTGTAAACTGAGTCCCCACTTTGAGAACCACTGCTCCAGATCTCCCCTGTGGGGTGAAACTAAAGCTAGTCTCTAGCTGGGGTCCCTTCCTTGCTTAGCTTTTTATCCCCCGTGCTACCCTGCTTTCTTCACACTTCTATTGACCACCACCTGCACAAAATCCCTTTTCTGTGCTTCTAAAAAAACTAACCATCCCACTTCCAACAGAACTGTTTTTCCACAACTACAGCCTTCACAAAGTGTCAGATCAGTGGCAACTAATGAGATGAGAAAGACTCCTGCATTTTTTGTAAAACAAGTATCACAGTTATTTATTGGATTGCTAGTTGCCCTTATATAATGTATTCTATGCAGTCAACGCTAGAACAAAGTTTATTCATCCCAATGAAGGAATGTTCCTTACTGTTAAGACATGGACAGCTCTAAGGCCTACTGCTTCCCTCTTCTCTATGGCTACTATGGTGTTCAAACTAGCTTTCGTGCCCAAGATGTATAAATATGCACTTTATTCTCTTTATTAAGTTTGTTAATATGGTATGATAAAAGCACTGAAGTCAGATTTTATTTTGAATCCTAAGTCTCAGGACACCTGGGTGGCTCAGTGGTTAAATGCCTGCTTTCGGCCCAGGGTGTGATCCTGGGGACCCAGGTTCGAGTCCCCCGTCAGGCTCCCTGCATGGAGCCTACTTTTCCCTCTGCCTCTCTCTCTCTGTCTCTCATGAATAAATAAATAAAATCTTTAAAAAAAAATAATTAAAATTTAAAAATAGAAAATCTTTAAAAAAAAAAAAACTGGAATCATTTGAACAACTCCTTGAACAACTCCTTTTCCCTCACTCTTTTGATCAAACTGTCCCCTAACTTTCCTCCTTATTTAGAAAAGCCTTTTACTAATCATTCCTCGGTTCTGAACCTCTTTTTTCATAAGATTTATTTATTTACTTGAGAGAAAGATAGGAGGTGGGTAGGGTCAGAGAGAGTGGGAGAGAAAAACCCAAGCAGACTCCACACTGAGCCTGACAAGGGGCTCGATCTCACAACCCCAAGATCACAATCTGAGCCGAAACCAAGAGTTTGAGGCTTAATCAACTGTACCACTGAGGTGCCCCCTAAACCTCTCAAGAACAGAATAAAATCCAAAAAGCATATATATATATATATATATATATATATATATATACACACACACAAACATCCAGAAGTATTTTATTCTACCAGAAACTGATATCTGTAATAATCTTAGAAACTGTTCTTCCCAAGTGATGGTCAGAAATCTATTAGCACATTGGAAAGATATACCTCCATGCAATTCTAAAGCATTCAGAAAGGTTTAAACATTTTTTTTCAAGACTAGAAAAGAAATTCTTAGATTTTAAGGAACATAAAGCTTGAGTATTTAAGTTTGGTGAATTCACCATATAATATCACTCAAATGAAGACAATTTGTAATTGTAAAAGCAAGGTTTGGGAATCATGCCACCCAAGATTTAAATTCCACCTCAGTGGTGCCCTAAAGCAAGTCACTCAACTGCTGAGCTTTGTTTCCTCATCCATAAAACTGCAACTTTTTAACTAGTTGTCAGATGGATAAGATGTAATACATGAAAACCATATAAGACACACAGAAGTTCAATCAACTGTAGCAATTACCATAAAACCTGGAGCCACTGAAAATGTAGACAGGAGAAAAAACTAGGTATTTAAACAGAACGTGTTTAAAAAGCTAATACACAAAACAAATAAGACTAAAAGGTAAACTCAACATGTACCCTAAAAGCAAACAAATTCTGTTAACTGGCTAAAAGAACGGGGACACTAGGGTCTAGAGTTGCCAGACTGCTTTCTAACCAACCAAATAGTTACAGGAGTGTAAGGAGGAATGAGAGGAATAAAATTTTCAAATGAGGAAAGCCTGGGTGGCTCAGTGGTTGAGTGTCTGCCTTTGGCTCAGGGTGTGATCCTGGGGTCCTGGGATTGAGTCCTGAGTTGGGCTCCCCCGCAGGGAGCCTGCTTCTCCCTCTGCCTGTGTCTCTGCCTCTCTCCCTCTGTGTCTCTCATGAATAAATAAATAAATTCTTTAAAAAAAAAATCTTCAAATGCTTCTACCTCAGATGCAGATTCAGTGGAGCACATTTCAAATTCATGAAAGAGAAGCACAGAGAGAAGCTAAGCAGCTATTCAAGTTCTTCCAAGCTCTTTCCCAGAAGTGACAGTGAACTCTGGACATTCCTCCCACCTGCAAAAGGAATTCCTTACTGTCACAAACATAACTCTACTCCAGTCAGTACTATCACACATCCAGCACCTATTGTATCAAATACTGGGCTAAGAACACAGAAATAGGGGATCCCTGGATGGCTCAGCGGTTTAGCGCCTGCCTTTGGCTCAGGGTGTGATCCTGGAGACCCGGGATCGAGTCCCACGTCGGGCTCCCTGCATGGAGCCTGCTTCTCCCTCTGCCTGTGTCTCTGCCTCTCTCCCTCTGTGTCTCTCATGAATAAATAAATAAAATCTTAAAAAAAAAAAAAAAAACACAGAAATAGACAAGATGCAGTCTCACAGTCTCTGCCAACACACTGAAAGAAAGCAGGAAAGAAAAATTCAAAGTTTACATATTACACAACAGTGTATAATTAATATCTAGCAGTAAATACTGTAACATCTTTCCTCTCACCTTCACCAATCTAAAATGTCAGTGTAATCCCCCTTGCCTCCAACATGAATGGCTTCACATTACTAAAAGATAAAGACAAAAACTAAGGGGCACATGGGTGGCTCAGCTGGTTAAGCATCTGCCTTCGGCTCAAGGTATGATCCCAGGGTCGTGGGACAGAGCCCCACATAAGCCTCCCAGCTCAGCGGGGAGTTTGCCTCTCCCTCCCCTTCTGCCTCTCCCCACCCCATACCCCACCCTGGTTCATGCTCCTTGACCTCTCGCTCTAAAAATAAATAAAATCTCTAAAAAAAAAAAAAAAAAAAAAAAAAAAAAAAGACCAAAACTAATAGCTTGATCTACAAAGCACAGCATGATATGATTCATACCTACCTTCCTAGCACCATCTAATATCTGCACAAACCGCCTCAGCAGGTTTTCCCAGTGCTTCTATCTTGTCATTCCCCCTGGCCATAGGACCTTTGAAAGTGATGTTCTTGCACATTTAACACTCATCTCTTCTCTTTGCCTACAAAAAGGTCACTTTACCCTTCAAAATTTGTTTTAGTTTTCACTTCCAAAGGGAAACATTCCTTTCTCTTAAGCAGTATAGCATGATTAAGGACACCAATTCTGGAGTTCTAAATCCTAGTTCTGCCATTTACTAATTCCATAGCTTTGAGCAGATCACAAAACACTTTGTGCCTCAATTTCTTCATCTGTAAACAGATTATATAGCTGTTGTGAGGATTTAATAAATTAATTCAAGTAAACACCACAACAATATTTATGACATAGAGCTCAAAATCTTGATTTGATCAAATCCCTCCATTTTATTTTCTTATAGCACCAAGACCTCTCACCTAATACCATTTTACATTTATCTGTCTCTCCCTAATAGACAAAAATGTCTAAAAGAGCAGAAACTATACTTGTTCCCTATCAATGGAACACAGGAATAATCCAATAAAGATGTGTTGAATAAAAAAGTAGCTGAAAGGAAGAAGCTGAGGCCCAGCAAAGTGACTTATCTAATACCCTACAAAACTTCATCTGTGTGACTCCACAGACCATTCCTTTCCACTACCCCAAGTTCCAGACTCCTACGTAAATGCTAAGAGTTGTGGAAACTGCAGTTGATGTGGCCAAAAAATGATTACAAACACAAAGCATTTAAAAACAATAAATTTTGTGGCAACATAAAGACTATTGTGTACTTTAAGAGTGGCATTCCAAAGTTGACGCTAAGCTAGTACAGGTGCAGGCTTACTTCCATTTCCAGCTCCAGCTCCACTGCTTACCTGGGCCTCAGTTCCCTCCTCTTTAAAAGAGTTGGATGGGCCAGATCATCTCTGAAATGTCTTCCAATTCTAGAGTTCAATGACAATAAATCATATTATGTGACAATTTTCTAAAAAAAATTTTTTAGGTAAGTTTAACAAGCAGACTGAACCAGATGGCTGGTGATTTTCAGGGAGATTTTTATTTTAAAGAATTTGTTCAAATAACATAATAAATCCTATTAACAAAGTAAGGTTATCTCTGTTCAGAAACTGCAAGAGACTCCATTTTCAAGAGAAAGTGTTTAACAGCCACCCAGAAACACTCCAACATATATGCCAAGGCTGCCACCATGAAACCTTGGGGCATACACAAACAGTGGCAAAATGTGTTTAGAACAGTACAAAAACCTGGCTAACCACTACGTAGAAAAGAAAAATAAATTCACAGAACAGAATATACAGTATACTGCTATGTAATAATTTAAACTAGGCTCTCAACCAAAACGTAAAAGGTAGCAGCAATCCTGGCATCGCAGATACTTTAAAAGTTGAGATAAACTCACAACCCTAGCTGTACTTCAGCAGCAATTCAGTTAGGAAAGAGGCAAGAGGCAAATTAGGAAAGAGGCAAGAGAAAATGGAAACTGTAAGGACCCTTAAAAATTCACCCTTGGGAGCTGACGGCCACGCCAGAGCCGCCGGGCGCGAGCGTGAGCGCGGGGAATGCACGTCCAAAGCGGCCAGAGGGCTGTCAGCCGCTCCCGGGCAGGCCAGCCGAAAGGGCACGCCGGCCGGCTCGGTGGGCCCCTCTGCCCTCCACGAGCCTCGCGGCAAGGGCTGCGGCGGGTGGCGCCCGCTCCCGCGCGCTGCAGCGCGGCCTCGGTGGGAGAGGGACGAGGGGCGCGGACGGCCGGGAACCCCGCGGTGCTCCCCGCCGCACCCGCCAACCCCCAGGCGGTGCGGGGCTGCGAGCCCAGCGAAGCCCAGGTCCGCGGGGAGCCGGGTCGCTCCTCACCTTCAGGGTCCACAGCGCTGCGCTCCGCATCAGCGGCTGCGGCCATCGCCGCTCACGCCGTCCGGCCGCGACGAGCGCCGCCATCCCCACCCGCAGCCCCGCCATTGTCGCCCCTGCAGACCGGCGCTCTGCTGACCTCTCACCCCGCCTAAGGGGCGGAGAAGGGAGCGCCAGCGCTTTCGCCAATCACGCGCCGGGAGCCGCGGCCCCGCCCCCTGCCGCGCAGGAAGGGAGGAGGGAGCGACCAGTCGAACCCAGGAAACCCGCAGCCCCGCGGCCGGGCGCGTGCGGGGACCCCGGGGGGAGCGAGGCGGGGAGGGCGCGCAGGAGATCTGGAGGCAGTCGGTCCGCGCCTGCTCCGGGTAAACCCGGTCCAGTTTACCAGCGTCCACCGAGCTACCAGCCCGGGGCCAGGCCACTCTGCGGCACTTAGTCACCTAAGCCCCGCAGCCACCCCACCCCCCACCCCCCCAGAGCCCAGTGTCCCAAATTACAGATATGCGCCCAAACTATATTCCTTTTCTTTGAAGGCATAAATTGCAATGTACCAAGTCAAGGCACGGTGTTGAATGAGTGTGGTAAGAGAAAACGCTCTAGGTCTAGAAATCAGAAATCAGAGCTCAAGTTCTCCCACTGCCTGGTAATATCTGCATGTCGGGAATTAGCCAAAATCAGGGACAGTTTCTGTTGCTTGCTAGCAGGCATCCTTATTAGTGTAACTACAAAAGGCCAAACCTTGTGCTAGATGTCTCAGATTCTGTCTCATTTAATCTTTACAAGAATCCTAAAGGCCGGGGATCCCTGGGTGGCTCAGCAGTTGAGCGCAGCCTTCAGCCTGGGGCGTGATCCTGGAGACATGGGATCGAGTCCCACGTCGGGCTCCCTGCATGGAGCCTGCTTCTCCCTCAGTCTCAGCCTCTCTCTTTCTCTCTCTGTGTGTGTGTCTCTCATGAATAAATAAATAAAATCTTAAAAAAAAAAAAAGAATCCTAAAGGCCCATACATTATTCCCACTTCGAAAAACTGAATTTATAGAGAGTTAAAGTCATTTAGATAGTAAATGGTGACACTAGGGTTTGAACCTGCAGCTGGCTATCTCCAGGGACTGCTCTTATGCTTTGTTATATTACAAATTTGTCGGGACGCTTGGGTGGCTCAGCCATTGAGCTTCTGCTTTTGGCTCAGGGTGTGATCCTGGAGTATCATGCTCCCTGCATTGAGCCTGCTTCTCCTTCTGCCTGTGTCTCTGCCTCTGTATGTGTGTCTCTCATGAATAGATAAATAAATCTTTTTAAAAGAAATATTTATTAACATACACAAGAGAGAAACAGTATTATGACCACCCAGGCCCTCATTACACAGCGCCAACAAATCAACATTTTGTAAATCATGCTCCATCAATTCCCCCTGTTTCATCTTTTGCTAGAGTGTTTTAAAGCAAATCTCAAACATCAGGTCACCTTGCCTTCATATAGGCCAGTAACAGGGGCTCTGATCTTAACTATTTTGATACTCCTTCTGAGTCACCTTGAGAGAGTTACAAAGCTAGGTATGACCTACAGTATGTTACAGCATGGCAAATGCCTAAAGATACAATCAAAATATTCGGGGATATCAGAGACATGACATTTAATGGAACTGTAAAATTAAGTAGGAACTTTCATGACAGACAAAAAGGAGTATCAGTTTCACAGTATTTCTCATTGAATTCATCTAAGCCTGGAATCATTTCCTACCAAGAAATCTGCTTCTCTTTTTTTCTTTTTCTTTCTCCCATTTTTAACCTTTGGATTGGTTCACCTTAGATCCTATCTGCTTTGTCTTATAGAAGTTCTTTTCATGAAAGTCATTTGTGGCAGAAACTACTTGTCCCTTATCTATTTGCTACTCATTCCTTTAATAAGAATTCCTAAATTTTAGCTATACACAGGCAACCCAGCCAAAGGCTACAATATCTAGCCTCCTTTACACAAGATGTGGCCATGTGACTAAGGGCTGGCTTATGGAATGTAAGAATTGTGCCCTTAAAGAGTAGAGGCATGCCCTCCATTTCCTCTGCTCTCCTTGAAATTACATGTGCTGGTGAGTGCTGGAGCAGTCATCTTTTTTTTTTTTTAAGATTTTATTTATTTATTCATGATAGACACACAGAGAGGGAGAGAGACAGAGACATAGGCAGAAGGAGAAGCAGGCTCCATGCAGGGAGCCTCACGTGGGACTTGACCCCAGGTCTCCAGGATCCGGCCCTGGGCTGAAGGCGGCACCAAACCACTGAGCCACAGGGGCTGCCCTGGAGCAGCCATCTTAACTCCAAGACAGGATCCTGAAGACAGCAGAACAAAAGATGGGGGGAGCCCAGGACCCTGACATTGTGGAGTCATCTTACCATAATGCATAGAAGGTTCTAGGTCAGAAATAAAGTTTTATCTTGTTTAAAGAACTTATTTCTGGCTTTACAATAGCAGCCAAAACTGTATCTTAACCAGATCATAATTTAGTATCTAGAAGTGAGGTGCTGACATAATGAAACCTGAAATGAATGGTAATAACAGTGACAACCCCCAAAAAGAAAGCAGAAGCTGAAAACTGATCACTCTTATTGCCAGGGTACCTCATTGGTAAAATGGTTACTGCAAACTTTTGGACAATCTCGCTATCACTATCACTGATACAACCTGTACTTCTTACATGGTGTTTTCAAAGGAACAGTGGCATTTTAAGTTGGAAAGTTCTACCCTGTCTGAGCTGTGCTGGGAAACATCCCAGAAACATCTGGGATGTTTCTGATCTCCAAAATCCACTTCCTGGCTGAAATGTCTGAAAACAGTTGTTCCATATATTTTGTCCACTTTATCCATAGTGATGGTTATTCAGTCCAGAAGCAGACTGGAGTCAGTTACCCCATAACAGCCAGAAGCGTGTCTTTTACTCAGAATTTTGAAAGTATCCTTACATCATTTTCTAGCTTCCAGAGTTGCTCTTATTCTTGATCCAATGTATCTTCCTTCTTACAGTTACCTGGCCCCTATGCCTTGTGTGGTGGGTATGGAATAGAGAATAAGTCGGGGTTGCAAATGATATAATCATGAGCAGCCAATATGCACAACAAATAGCAAGTCTCTACTCTACCAAGAGACCCTGATCTTTGAGCTACACATATTTGGCTCTCTTTGAGTGAGTATCTCTGTAGACCAGGTATACTGGATTGGAAACTATGTTTCCTGAAACCATCTTTCCTGTATGGTTCCTGGTTAGATTTAACCAAAAGAAGAACTTGTAAAATACTTAGAAGGGAGGAGTAAAGCAGTAGCCATCTCCTTTGTAAGATAAGGAACAGTTTCCTGGAAAGTTTCCTTTTCCAAAGTTTCAGTTTGTCCTCAGACACAACCCTATATCCACTTTGTTTTTCCCAACTGCTAAGCCCTGATGACCCCCAGCAACTCAAGGCCCACCACTGGATGCCTGACTGCAGACCCACAGATGAGTAACTATCCAGAGGTAACTATTTCTTTTTTCTTTAAAACTTTATTTATTTGAGAGAGAGAGAAAGAGAGAGTAGGGGAAGGGACAGAGAGGGAGGAAGGGACAGAGAATCTCAAGCAGATTCTGCACTGAGTGCAGAACCTGAAGCAGGGCTCCATCTCATGAACCCAAGACCATGACCTGAGCCAATACCAAGATTTGGACACCTAACTGACTGAGCCACCTAGGCACCCTCAGACATAACTGCTTCTTATTGACCCCTCCAGGGGATCCTTCTCATTCCCATTTGGCAACCAGGTATGTTTGGCTTCTCAGCTATCCCTCAAGCTCCAACTTGTCTACCTTGCCAATGTATCAGGCTATCTCTTTCTCTGATCTTCTGGAAGGAGCCTATAGCCATTGACTAATGTGAAAATGCACCAAAGGAAGGAAAAATAACCAGAGTTTTCAGGAATTGCTGGCTCTGAAGTGATACTAATTCCTAGAGACACAACATGCCATTGTATCCCACCACTGAAAGTAGAGAATTTGACACAACTGATTTGGTTTTGTTTTTTTAAGATTTATTTATTCATTTGAGAAAGAGAGAGCAGAGGGGAGGAGAAGAGGGAGAGAGAGAATCTCCAGCAGACTCCCTGTTGAGTGTGGAGCCCCAGGCTCAGTGCCAGGACCCTGAGATCATGAGCCCAGCTGAAATCAACAGTCGGCCACTCAGCTGATTGAGCCACCCAGGCATCCAGCACAACTATTTGAGTGATGAAGGGGTGGACTGTGACAGGGACAGCTCATTGTCCCCTGTTATCCATCTTACTCTCATTAGTAAAAGAACTCTCACAATTTAACTGGGTACATGGTAAGAACTACATTTCCTTAAGTAAGGACTTCCATGGCAGCAAGAGTGGCCAGGTTACTAAGTTTTGCCCAATGGGATGTAAGCAAAAGTGACATGGACAACTTTTGGGTTGTGTCCTTCAAAGGAAGAGGCATGTCTTCCACTTTCCCTTCTTTTCTTCCCAGCTTGCCAGAATGCAGGCAAAAGAGAGTTGAGGAGATGGCAGAAACTGACTAACTGCTCTCCAAATATGTTCATTATTCCTGAGCACACTACTAGGCAACATTTCCTAGCCTCCTTTACAGATAGATGCAGTGAGATACTTGCATTCTGGCCAGTGGAATGTGAGTGAAAGTGAGATATACCAACTTCCAGGCTAGAGTCATAACTTCCATGCATTCCTTCACACCCTTTCTCCTCTCATCTGCTGAGACTTCTGGAAGGTGCTAGATAGAAGGAGCACTGATATCTCAATAACTAAGTAGACTAGGATTTTTCTTGCTGTCCCACACTAAACTGTGACATGACCAAGAAATAATTTTTTATTCACTTAAGCCACTGAGATTTGGGGATTACTAGAACAGTCAGTCTATGCAGCCTAATAGAGCATTAATAGAAGTAAATAAAATAGACTAAAAAAGACTTTTGTACACATCAGAAGGGAAAAGGTAATATTTAAAAGCAAAGTAGATTTTCTTTTCCAAAAATGGAATAAAAGGATAGCTAACACTGGGACACCTGGGTGGCTCAGGGGTTCAGTATCTGCCTTTGGCTCAGGTCATGTTCCTGGGGTCCTGGGATTGAG